GCCTGTAGTCCCAGCTACTTGGGAGGCTGAGGCAAGACAATCGCTTCCAGAGGTCCTCAAACTTTTTAAACAAGGGGCCAGTTCACTTCCCTCAGACCATTGGAGGGCCAGACTGTGAGCCCTGGGATGAGTCAGCTGCTAAGCAGGACAGGCAGCAGCGGCAAAAACACCCTGCGGGCTGGATAAATGTCCTAGGCGGGCTGCATGTGACCCGCAGGCTGTAGTTTGAGGATGCCTGGCTTAAACCCAAGAGTTTGAGGTTGCTGTGAGCTGTGACGCCATGACTATGTTGAGGGTGACTTATAGTAAGACTCTGTCTCAAAAAAAAAAAAAAAAATTAACAGGAAAGCAGATTCAAAATTGTGGCTACAACTATATAAAAATATGTACAGAATGACTGGAGGGGTGTGTGCCTAACATTGTAAGTATTATAATAATAATAATTATTATTATTGAGACAGAGTCTCTCTCTTTCTCTAGGCTAGCCATGGCCTTGGCCTAACTCATAGCAACCTCAAACTCCTGAATTCAAACAATCCTCCTGCCTCAGCCTCCTGGAGTACATGTCCATGCCACCAAATCTAGCTAATTTTTCTATTTTTAGTAGAGATTGGGTCTTGTGCTTGCTCAGGCTAGTCTCGAACTCCTGAGCTCGAGATCTTCCCGCATCAGCCTCCCAGAATGCTAGGATTACTGGCATGAGCCACCATGCCTGGCCAAGTAACTTTTTTTTGTTGTTTTTTGAGCAAAAGGATCATATTTTACTAAATCCTCACAAAACCTTATGCGAATAGAATTATTCCCGTTTCACAATAGATAACTGGAGCTCAGAGAGTGAAGCAGTATTTCTGATGCTAGATAGCTGGTGTTATACCTAATTGTACTATTTGGCCTCTGAAATACCACATTTAACCATTATTTGAAGGCTTTTTATATGCCAGGTACAAGGAATGGAAAACTGCTTGTGAGTAAGGCAGTCACAGTTCCTGAATTCGTGGAGCTCATAGACTAGTTGGAAAGCAGTTATTTGTAATCTTTTTTTAAAAATTTGAGATAGGGTCTCACTATGTTGCCCAGGCTGATCTCAAACTCCTGGGCTCAATAGATTCTCATGCCTCTCCAGTCTCCTAAGTAGCTGGGATTACAGACTCAAAGCATAAATGTAAATGAACACTTGGTCTTCTGGGTAGAGTGTGAACCTGGAAGCTAACTGCTGTGTTCAGGCAAGAAAAACGGAAGAAGGGTCCTCTGGGTCATCTGGGAGGAAAGAGTGAAGCAGTTGCTATGTAACAGAGTGGATAAAAACCTGTTTTCTAAATTTTCTGGAATCTGTTTATGTGTTAATGGAGAGTACTTAGTATCTTGAGTTTAGTCAACTCTTTTTAGTTTGCCTTAAGTTATTTTTGTTCAGGGTATTAGCAGATTTTTCAGAAGTCAGTATCATTAAACAATTAAATTTGAAACTTTCTTAAACTCTTTAATTTTCAGGTTTAAGAAGATCCTTTTGTCCTGAAAGAACACATTTGCTGCTATAGTTTCAGAATGTCAAGTACTGTGGCCTACTGGATTTTAAATTCTGTAAGGAACAGCATTTCCACATTTCAAGGGGGTAGACGTTTATACTCTAGATATGTCTCAAATAGGAGTAAATCAAAATGGAAGCTCTTTTCTCCGGTGCCACCCACCCTAAAAAACAGTTCCCCATGTGGTAGCTCTCCTCTTCAGAAGGCATACAGACACACGTCCACAGAGGAAGAAGATTTCCACTTACAACTTAGCCCTGAACAGGTAAATGATGTACTTCGAGCTGGTGAGTCAGCCTACAAGATTCTCGACCTTGACAGTGGAGTCCCAAATTCAGTGTTGCAGTTTGAGAGCAACCAGCTGGCTGCCAATTCCCCAGTGGAGGACCGGCGAGGAGTGGCCTCCTGCCAGCAGACCAGTGGACTGATGTTCGGCATTTTTGATGGACACGGTGGTCATGCATGTGCGCAAGCAGTAAGCGAGAGGCTCTTCTACTATGTGGCTGTGTCGCTGATGTCTCACCAGACCCTAGAGCAGATGGAAGGAGCAGTGGAAAGCATGAAGCCCCTGCTGCCTATCCTGCAGTGGCTCAAGCACCCAGGGGACAGTATCTACAAGGATGTCACATCAGTACATCTTGACCACCTCCGTGTCTATTGGCAGGAACTGCTTGACCTACATGTGGAAATGGGACTGAGCATTGAGGAAGCATTGATGCACTCCTTCCAGAGACTGGATTCTGACATCTCATTGGAAATCCAGGCCCCCCTGGATGATGAGGTGACAAGAAACCTGTCACTCCAGGTTGCTTTCTCTGGTGCAACAGCCTGCTTGGCCCATGTTGATGGAATTCACTTGCATGTGGCAAATGCTGGTGACTGCCGGGCCATCCTTGGTGTCCAGGAGGACAATGGCATGTGGTCTTGTCTGCCCCTCACCCGTGACCACAATGTCTGGAACCAGGCTGAGCTGTCCCGGCTAAAGAGGGAGCATCCTGAGTCAGAGGACAGAACAATCGTCATGGATGACAGGCTGCTGGGAGTCCTCATGCCCTGCAGGGCTTTTGGGGATGTCCAGCTAAAGTGGAGTAAAGAGCTGCAGCGCAGTGTCCTGGAGAGGGGCTTTGATACTGAGGCCCTCAACATTTACCAGTTCACTCCCCCACACTACTATACTCCTCCCTACCTGACTGCTGAGCCTGAGGTCACATACCATAGGCTAAGGCCCCAGGATAAGTTCCTTGTGCTGGCCTCAGATGGCCTGTGGGACATGCTGAGCAATGAGGACGTGGTGAGGCTAGTGGTGGGGCACCTGGCTGAGGTAGATAGGCACAAACCAGACCTGGCCCAGAGACCTGCCAACCTGGGCCTCATGCAGAACCTGCTGCTGCAGAGGAAAGCCAGCAGGCTCCTTGACACTGACCAAAATGCAGCTACACGTTTAATCAGACACGCCATCGGGAGCAATGAGTATGGGGAGATGGAGCTGGAGCGGCTGACAGCTATGCTGACATTGCCAGAGGACTTGGCAAGAATGTACAGGGATGATATCACTGTTACTGTGGTGTATTTTAACTCAGAATCTATTGATGCATATTACAAGGGAGGTTAAGAATCTCTCATCCTATTACCATGGTTAACATAAATGCTTTTCTTCCTTTTTTTTTTTTTTTGAGACAGAGTCTCACTATGTCACAAGATAGAGTTCTGTAGTGTCATAGCTCACAGCAACCTCAAACTCTTGGGCTCAAGAGATTCTATTGCCTCAGCCTCCTGAGCAGCTGGGATTACAGACACCCACCACAATGCCCGGCTATTTTTTTGTTTGTTTTAGCAGGCCAGGGCTGGGTTTGAACCCATCAGCCCTGGTGCATGTGGCTGGTACCCTAACTGCTGAGACACAGGCGCCAAGCCATAAATGCTCTAAAATATTTTCAGTTACTCTTATACTAGCTATCCAAACCTACTGTTAAAGAGCAGGCAGATGCAGCTTTCTAAATAATTAACTAACATGAGGGAAAGAAAACAGCCTAGGTTTAAAGACAGTAGCAATGATTTCATCTTCCCAAACAAGAGTTTTGATCAGCTCTTGTACATACGGAGGGCAGAACATAAAGACTATAAAATTGGCTTGGGCTCATGTAGCTTAAGTCCTTTTACAAAGATACTGTTAAATGTGTCACCCTGAGCCTTCAAAGGGTAAATCTAATTATGATTCTAAGAATAAAGAGCTTCAGGATCTTCTGAGCTCTTGCTGTAAACTCTGCAGATTTAATAATTGCCCTGAATTTACTACAATTATGGACTTCTAGACTGAAGAGAGTTTTTGTTTTTTATTTAAATTACTAAAGCCTAGGTTTACAAAGCATACTACAGGACGCTCTTCTATGCAATATCTTAACTTTTTTTGTGGTTATACTTGTGAAAACATTTTGTAATACTGCATTCTAGTTCTAGAGTTTATCTTAAAACTGAATCCTTAAACTTGCAAACAGGCCTCCAGTAAGCATAACTGGAATGACTTGTTTTAGTTTTCAGCCGAGCAGGAGCTATGCCTGAGAACCAGCTGAATTTACTTGTGCAGCTTTTAGTCTCCACTGAGTCCCAGTCCTGAAATTCTGATCCAGTGTAGGAGGTAACTAATCTAAGCCTTAACTCCTGACTTTTCTTGCATTAGTAAAATGTCCTCCCAGGCTTAGTCTCTGGGGGGTTATTCTTAGCATTTAACCTTTCTGATGATACCTCCCAAACGTTCTTTTGTTAATCCTACCTAACACAATCCTTCTACCTCTGTTATGCTAAACCCCACCCTGCTCCTGCTTCCTATATTTTAAAAGAATGTTCCCTGTTTCAAAGGATTGTAGGAAGAGGAGAAAAAGTAATCACAGGTGGTAGTTCTGAGGGACTTTAGGCAGAACAGGCTTATTCAGATAGTAGATTTAAGATTCAGCCTCAGTCTGGATAGGTGAAAACACACAGGCTTAAGAAGAGTCTCTAACAAGGGATTAGAGAGATCAGTGACTAACTCTCTGAATCCTGTCCTAAGAGGGAGGAGGGAAACATCGGATGGGACACACTTGCCCCTAGACTGGCAAGTGAGTAAGTTGCCATTGCTACTCCTCAGGAATTAGCCCATATTTAGTATAGGAGTTGGGGCAAAAATAAAACTTTTAATGGTTTCTGTGGGCTGCAGAGTCTTTATATTTACTTGAAAATTAAACCACATGGATCCTTTTGGAGGATGAATCTCTTTTCGGGAGCTGCTGTGGCATTCAAACAACAGGAAATGTGTCCCTGAATGGAAACAAATACAATCCCACAAAGCTGACGGTTCTATTTTCCTGTACCACACGAGGCCGAATTCTTCAATGTAGTTGAACTGCATTTGTTGATCCCTCTCCTCATCTTACCCTCTTATGCCATCCACTGAAAAGAAAAACACATCCTTATTTTTGTCTATCTCCCCGCTGACATGCAGTCAAATGTTGGGATACTTCTTAGCACAGTGATGTTTCTCTGTACCTTTTTCAGAGTTTAGACAGTCTGCTCTGTTGCTGGGGTAGAGTGCGGTGGCAACATTATTGCTCACTGCAACCTCAAACTGTCCAGCTCAAGCCAGCACCATATTCCTGGTTAATATTTTTCTTTTTCTTTCTTTTTTTGAGACAGAGCCTCACTATGTTCAGTAGAGTGCTATGATGTCACAACTCACAGCAACCTCAAACTCTTGAGCTTAAATGATTCTCTTGCCTCAGCCTCCCAAGTAGCTGGGACTACAGCTGCCCGCCACAGTGTCTGGCTATTTTTTGTTGTAGTTGTCATTGTTTAGCAGGCCCGGGCTGGGTTTGAACCCTCCAGCCCCGGTGTATGTGGCCGGTGCCCTAACCACTGAGCTATGGGCACCAAGCCTATTTTTCTATTTTTGATAGAGACTGGGTCTCACTCTTGCTCAGGCCAGGCTGATCTAAAACTCCTGAACTCAAGTGATCCTTCCGCTTCAGCCTCCCAGAGTGCTAGATGTGAGCACAAGGCCTTATCTCCTAGATCTTAACTCATAAATAAAGTGTGAGTCATTCCTATCCCGCCAGCATAAGGGTTCATTGATGTAAGTGAGGACTTTACTTGTCTGACATTTTCTTTGTCCTTTATTCTTGATGCCAGGTGAACCCTGAAGTACCTTTGGAGACTTTACTAGCATATATAGTGTCTGAATCCTACTTTGGAGCCTAGCAAGGGTCATAAATTTATCTGATTCAATACCTTGTGAGACAGCTGAGAGAACACAGACTTCTCGTTTGTGTTTCTAAGTGTCTGTTTTTCCTCTGCCCAGTAAATTGTCCTGCTTTCTGGTTGGCATATTGAGAGAAAAGAAAGGCTGATTTACCGTCTGCCTTTTTGCCCAACATGAGCGATCACTTCTTTCCATGTTTCATGCGTACCTCCTCCTGGCTAAACCCCAGCATATCTGGTATCCCTGGCCACTATTCTGTCATTGGCATTCCCAAAGCATACGGGGCACTGCTTTAGGACCTTGGGATTTGAGAGGAGGTTGATAGTGCTTGTCAGGTCTTCCAAAGCACTTCTTACTCCTTTTATAGATTTCAAAATCGAAACTAAAACTTTTCAATGAACTAAAAAAATGAGACTGAACATTTAATATTTGGGATGTATCTTTTGAAGATAGTATGCTTTGGTGCTTATAATTGCATATTATTTTAGGTAAGAAACTGATAATATTGGTGTAATCTAGGTTTTTTTTTTTTTTGAGACAGAGCCTCAAGCTGTCCCCCTGGGCAGAGTGCTGTGGCATTACAGCTCACAGCAACCTCCAACTCCTGGGCTCAAGCGAGTCTCCTGCCTCCGCCTCCCAAGTAGCTGGGACCACAGGCGCCCGCCACAACGCCCTGCTATTTTTTTTGTTGCAGCTGTCATTGTTTGGCAGGTCCGGGCTGGGGATTCGAACCCGCCACTTAGGTGTACGTGGCTGGCGCCTTAGCTAGTTGAGCTATAGGCGCTGAGCCGTAATCTAGGTTTTTAATAGAATTTCAACTCTTGATTCTGGGCTTGGTCAAAATGGATAGAGGGTATAATAGATAAGAGTATTCTAAATTCAAATTATTGTGATAGATGAGGTTACTTAGATGTAGCTTTCTGAGATGTTATTTGTAACATTAAAGCTAATTTATTATAATGACAATGTAAAGTTTGAGATGTGGTAATATATTAAACATATTTTTACCAAAAATACATTCATCCTAAAAAGTCTCTAGTATTTAGCACATCAGGTAAAGCTCAGTTTAGATACAATCACTTAAACAGTGAAATATGTACAGCTTGATTAAATTAATTAAATTAAATAAGAGCACAATTAATCATACGAAACCAAAAAAAAAAAAGGTGTCAAGTCTTCATCTGGGAAGCCTTAACTTCCCAGGTTAAACCAGAATATCCTGGAACTGAGCCAATGTCCAACTTTCATCTTAAAATGGTTCATTTGTTTCTGAAATGTGACTCTTTTGTGCAAAGAAAGTTCTAGAGTAGCCCTGGGGCTGAGGATAGAGTAGAAGCTAGGGGCATGGCCTGTGATGTGAGCTTTGTGGAAGTCATGTTTGGGATGTCCTGTAACTATCTGGGCAGACTGAGGCTCTGTCACTTACTCCCTGGCACTTCACACTTTAACTTGCCTGCTGGAAAATATTTCTTATCAAACATTTACTTGTGATAATTAACCACATTCTTTAATAATTACTGACGTTTGTGTTTTAAGCTGTATTCCAATGTTCATATTTGACACTGATTTTCTAACCATTAGAGATATTTAAGTAAAACTTGTAAATAAAAGAGACAAAATGAAATTTGACTTCTTTCAGTTTGAATACTTATTTTTATTTATTTAGTTTTTTGAGACAGTCTCACTATGTCGCCCTCGGTAGAGTGCTATGGCATAACAGCGTACAGCAACCTCAAATTCTTGGGTTTAAGCGATTCTCTAGCCTCAGCCTCCCAAGTAGCTGGGACTACAGGCGCCTGCCACAACACCTGGCTATTTTTTGGTTGCAGTTGTCATTATTGTTTAGCAAGCCTCGGCTGGGCTCAAATCTGCCAGCTTCGGTGTATGTGGCCGGCGCCCTACTCCCTGAGCTACAAGGTGCCAAGCCTGAATACTTATTTTTTTAAGCCTTAGGATACTAAATTAGGCCACACTTTGTTTTATTGCCTTAATTTGGCCATGGAAGATTTTAGGCTGCTCAGGAGTCCACCCCAAAGAAAAGTACACGGCTCTGCAAATTTTTGGCGTTTGCTGCCCACTCAGGAAGTCCTCATTTAGTGTTAACTGTGTGGGTAGGGACCTGAAAAAAAGTAAGAGAAAGTGAAGGCATTGGTTGTGAGGATCTCTACATACTCAATGGCAAGACCTGCTGGGATTTCATATTTAACTGAGCTTGTAACAACTTGTCAAGCCAGCTTCTGTGTTAATATGAAGTGCAGAGCCAGGTTTGGGAATAAGGTCTAGGCAGCTACCTAGATGGAACTGAAGACCCCTTCCATCCCACCCCCACTAACTGAGCTCTATTTCATTGCAAGACGAGTGACACAGCTCATTTATAAGGACTGTGCCAGCAGGTACTTAAAATGCAAATACAAATATTGACACTTTAGTGTGGGCAGGGG